TTTTAAAATAAAATAACCGAAAAAAAAAAGGAAAAAAGTTCATTTAATTTTTTCCCCATCCGAGAATAGAACTCCAGTCACCTATGTGGAAGGCAAGAACCCTAACCACAGGACCATCTACGCGTTTATTTTATTTGCTTTAATACTCATAATTAAATTGATTTCATATAGTTTTATTTAAATTTACAAATTATTTATAATTATAGACGAAATAAAAATATAAATTCTATTATTTATCGATTCTACACAAAAATAACTCATTTTAATGTATGTTTAACCTTAATAACTAAAAAATATATTGACTATTAATTTGTTAGAAATAATAGCAGTCAGTTGATCAAAATATGAACTACCTGGAATGGATATGAAATATATTCGTTCAGTTGAAGGAAATAGCATACTTTTTCGTTTTGTAATCTGTGCGTAGATAAGCTATTATTCATGTGGGTGTAGAAAAAATATATTTTTAAATCATATCTCACTGTATATTTTTTAAGTTCGGAAGCATTTTTTAAATAAATAAAATAAAAAAGTAGGTATTACCAAATTTAAAGCGCTAACTGCCACAGGTATTAAATAATTTAATAGCAGTGGCACTTAGCGCTTTAAATTTGGTAATACCTACTTTTTTATTTTATTTATTTAAAAAATGCTTCCGAACTTAAAAAATATACCGTCTAATTTCGGGACACCCTGTATATCATCTATAACTATCAATAAAAAATATTTGAGTTGTTTGGTTTAAAAATGGTATTCCTACATTCCTATAATATTAACAAGCCACTAAACCTCCAGTAGGCGGCGATAGCCAACGAATTACTTCGCCAATTGATGATATACCTGTGTTCATGTAATTGTAATCGGACCCTACCCAATTCTATGATTATTCTTCAGCGCACGACACACGATATTGCCAAATTTGTGTAGCGAACAAGGTTCCAAATACTTTAAGGGGAGGTCGTTAGATCCGTGCGGTGTGACGGTAGAAGGGACTGGATTGCTCTTAATACTATTAGATTTCTCGAAAGCTTTCGATAATATAAATCACAAAATTTTACTTGCCTTGTTGAAGTTCTTTAGATTTAATAATACATCTGTGTCTCTATTAAAATCATATCTTTATCAGCGAAAACAAATTGTTCAAATAGATAATATGTCTTCCACACCGTTGGAGATTACATCTGGTGTATCTCAAGGTAGTATTTTAGGCCCTTTATTATTTACTCTTTATACTCACAATTTCCAAGTATACTTAAATACTGTAATTATCATTTATACGCTGATGACACCCAATTATACTATTCTTTTAAGTACTCCAATTTAAATGAAACTATACAGGATATTAATTCTGATTTAAATGAAATAATGTAACTAAAAAACATTAATTAAAAATGAATCCTAAAAAATACAAAGCAATGATATTTGTAATGAGTCAATTAGGGATTCCGTAAACTCCTCGACATTATTAAAAATTAATGACGCGTTTATTCCAATTGTTACGCAATGTAAAAACTTAGGTCTTACTGTAGATTCAAAATTGAAGTTTGAACAACATATTACTTCAAAATTAAAATTGTCTTATGCAAGTTTAAAACTAATATATGCGCAACGATATTTTCTATCACCAGATGTAAAAAAAATGTTATGTGATTCACTAGTATTATCAAATTTTAATCATTGTGATATTGTATATGGTCCATGTTTAAACATTTTCGAGTCTGGAAGAATTCAAAAATTGCAGAATTCTTGTGTAAGGTTAATATTTGGAATTCGTAAATATGATCACATTTATACTAAATATAAAGAATCTAAATGGTTAAATATGATTAATAGAAGAAATTTACAATTTGCTTGTTTCAGTCAAAAATATTTAATACTTGTATGAAAAATTAAAATTTAGAACTGATATTCATAACCTAAATATGCGTTTTAAATCCATACTTAGATTGCCTAGATTTTTTAAAGCTAGTTTTAAAAGTTCTTTTACTTACAAAGTCACAGTCCATATAAATAACCTGTTAAAAATTGATCCAACATTATAACATTTGAAAGCAGAAACCTCTAAATTCCGCTATAAAAATATACTGCTGCAAAAACAATATTTATTTTTTTTCTACTATTTTTTCTTTTCTTATTTTATTTTTTATTCTCTCATTTTTCTTTCTCATTTCTCTTTCTTATTTCTCTTTCTCCTTTTCTTTATCCTTTTCTGGTTCCTTTTCTGGTTCCTTTTTTTTTTCCTCTTTCCTTCTCTTCTCATTATAGTGCAGGGCATAGTGGCGCATTCGTTTGCAAAATTGTTTTAATTCGTATTTTTTTTTTAAAGGCTTTCCTGATCATAAAAGTGTAAGATGACACTCGATATCTGTTGATGTTATTGTTTAAACAACGAAAAATTAATTAAGCCAGAAAAAATGCAATTTTTTGCAATAAATTAATTTTTTTTATATTCTTTAGGATATTTCGAATAAAAAAAGTCCATTATCGTATTTTTAACCCTTTAATTGTTATGAATGTTTTAAAATCCGAAATTGACGAAAATTCGAATTTTCTTGAATTAAATAATATACCTTAAAATTTAAAATGCTATAATTTTAAATTTTTTACCGAATATTCAAACTATAATAAACAAAATAACCTAAATAAGTTTTTCAAAATTTTGTTTGTTGTTATGTTTTTTTTACGTTATAACAATATGCTTCCTACGCGCGTGTACTTTTAGAGAGAAGTACTTTTATCTCACTTCCAACTCAATGTACAAGATGGGTAAGAGAAAGCCCGATGACGCGCTGAATCAATTTTATGCTGTTTTTCAGAGGTAATAAGTTTAAAAAAATTATTATTAACATTTTTCATAACACTTTGTTATATTTGCCGATTAATAGTTTTGTATCATGTGATTTTTTTTTACTTTTTTAGATACTTTTGATAACTTTTTTATATACTTTTGATAACTTTTTTATTTATTAAAGTTAACAGAAACATTTATTTTTAACATTTATTTTTATTCATGAAAAAATTATTGTCAGATACTGCCTGATAAGTAAAATCTTCTTCAACCTTTTTTTTTTTCAATACGATAAAAAGGCCAAATGCCCTTGTGATCTTTAGATTTCTCTGGTTTTGGTTATGTTTTCTGTGATAACCAAATAAAGCCACTGTATTTAACAAAACCGCCATTACCTGAAGATTTAGCAAAACCGTGCAACTGTAAAAAAAATTGTGCAACGAAAGCTTGTTCGTGTCAAAAACTAAACATGACGTGTGTGGCATTATGCGGATGTTTAATTGAATGTTTCCAAAATCAATTTCATGTTAAAACTAGTTAGATGTACAAACTATAATTTTATGTAAAAATTTTCTTAATAAATGAATGAATTAAATAATCATAGTGGAAAATAATTAACAACCATAGAAAAAATTGAATACATATATATTGCGTACTCTGTTTTAAAATAAAAACCAGGTGAGTCAACTATGCTCATCGTAACAGGTAGAAATTTTCCTTGAATTACGGCAGGTATGTTTGTCTTCTTTTATCTTATTGGAAAAAAGTGAGAAAAATGTATTTCTTAGACAGCTCTTGGCAATGATTTTTTTTTTGTAGATGGAACATTTCTATTGAATAAAAAAGTTATCGAAAGTATCTAAAAAAGTAAAAAAAAAATCACATGATACAAAACTATTAATCGGCAAATATAACAAAGTGTTATGAAAAATGTAATAATTTTTTTAAATTTATTACCTCTGAAAAACAGCAAAAAATTGATTTAACGCGTCATCGGGCTTTCTCTTACCCATCTTATACATTGAGTTGGAAGTGAGATAGAAGTACTTCTCTCTAAAAGTACACGCGCGTAGGAAGCTTATTGTTATAACGTAAAAAAAAAACATAACACCAAACAAAATTTTGAAAATTTATTTAGGTAATTTTGTTTATTATAGTTTGAATATTCGGTAAAAAATTTAAAATTATAGCATTTCAAATTTTAAGGTATATTATTTAATTCAAGAAAATTAGAATTTTCGTCAATTTCGGATTTTAAAATATTCATAACAATTAAAGGGTTAAAGATACGATGATGGGCGTAAGGACTTTTTTATTCGAAATATCCTAAAGAATATAAAAAAAATTAATTCATTGCAAAAAAATGCATTTTTTCTGGCTTAATTAATTTTTCGTTGTTTAAACAATAACATCAACAGATATCGAGTGTCATCTTAAAGGAAAGCCTTCCGGACATTTAAAAAAAAATTACGAATTAAAACAATTTTGCAAACGAATGCGCCAGTATGCTCTGGTCTATTAAACTTTTCTTATAATTTTAGAAAGCCATTTCAAAAGGCATTTTTTTACCATGTTGGCATTGGTGGAAGACCAGGGGTGGATAATATCCGCACCTGAACCAATTTGGGACAATTGTCTACTGACTTTTTTTATATATATATTTTTAATTGTACTTTATATGTGGACAATATATGTGTTATTATTATTATTATTATTATTATTATTATTATTATTATTATTATTATTATAAAAAATGTTACTTCCTAAAATATATTTAAAAAGAAATCAAAATGCCACATTTTAATACAACATAAAATATGAACTATAAACAAAAAAAGAGTTATTAACAATGGACATGGAATTGAATCTGCTAATACACAATATTTTTTCTTTTATTCATATTTAATAATTATATTGTTTCATTGAATATTTATGTATTGTAGAAGTATATTTTTTTTTTAATTTATTTTGTGATATTGTATTTTATCGATTAGTTTTTTTTTTGACTAAATAAAGTATTATAATAAAATAAAATTGGTACTTAGTTTGTTTTGTTTTTCCTGGAAAGATTTTGACTGAAATAAGAAACTGATAGTACTTCAAATGCGTTAATATTTTTATAATAAATTCATTGAATTTCATTCATAAACGGTTTGACGAAAATATATTAATTTGGAAACAGTTTTGAGCGATTCAACTAATAATTATTTACCTTCATTGAGCCAGGGCTGCCAGAATCGGGTACCTGGTTCATTCTTAATTTCTCCGTCAGTCTTTTCATTCTCTCTGATCATCATCGTAACCCTAAGCAACTTCCGAACCACTTCTCTATCCATGATTTTACGATTTTTCTTCTCAAAAATATCACAAGTCCAAAACAAAAACACAAAAAATTATGCACGAATTTAAGTAATTTGCGGTTTCCTAGCGACGCACTTTGTCTATTGTTTATATTTACGCGTAATACGCGAGACGCGTAGCATCCGAAGCGAGATCATAGTAAGCCATGAGGATTTTCATTCATAAGATTCCGGCCAGGTAGGTTGTGGTTGTGAAGGAGCGGCGAGGCCGGGGTACAGGTAGGTATATGTAATCAATTTTTTTTAAATCGCCGCGACGGGATGCGGTCACAAAGTCCGGTCGTCGTAGAGACCAAAGTCGCTGACGACGGCTCTTTTTGACCGGTTTGGCTTTTTTTGTTTTACATTTCGTTTTGTTTTACGAGTCGCGCTACCGGACAGCGGCGTACGACAAAAATCGGGGCAACTTTTCATTCAAAAGAAATCGAATTGGCGGGGTATTTAGAGACCGGGGTGAAGTTAGCAGTAACTTTTAGCAGTAAAAATAACCGACAACACCCGATCGCGAAAACAGTGGCGTCCAGCATACAACTATTTAAATAATCTTGTCAATATGTATTTTATTAATATTGACAAAAAATTAATACCTATACGGTTAAAAATAACCCTTAAAATTGACAAAAGTATTTATCCGACGAAGGAACTCAGATCGCAATTTAATTTTACATTTAAAAAATAAATACATTAACATGCGCTATTAGGTAACCATTTCTTCGGATCCATTGAACAGAACAGGGTAAAATTAATCCATAAAATTCATAAAATAATTTATCCTGTGAAGTGTATTAAACAGGGTGAATTTAACCCTTAAACTTCAAATAAATAATTACCCTATGAAGACGATTAGATCCCAACTTCGTTTTAATTTAAAAAATCATAAATATATTCTCCAAAGTACACTAAATAGCGAAAATCCCTTCCGACCCGTCAAACAGGGTGAAATTAACCCTTCAATATTAAAATAAATAATTACCTTATGAAGACGATCAAATCCCAACTTGGTTTAAGATTTAAACAATCATAAATACACTCACCAAAGTACACAGTTAGCGAAAATCCCTTCCGACCCGTCAAACAGGGTGAAATTAATCCTTCAACATTAAAATAAATAATTACCCTATGAAGACGATTAAATCCCAACTTGGTTTTAAATTTCAAAAAAATCATAAATACACCCAACAAAGTACACTGTAAGTGAAAATCCCTTCCGACCCGTCAACATACCAGCGTATAGGATAAATTAACACCTTCAACATTAAAGATAAATAATTACCCTATGATGACGATTAGATCCCAACTTCGTTTTAAATTTAAAAAATCATAAATACACTTACCAAAGTCACACTGTTAGCGAAAATCCCTTCGACTCGTCAAACAGGGTGAAATTAACCCTTCAACATTAAAATAAATAATTACCTATAAAGACGAATAAATCCCAACTTGGTTTTAAATTTAAAAAAATCTTAAATTCACTTACCAAAGTACACTGTTAGCGGAAAAATCCCTTCCGACCCGTCAAACAGGGTGAAATTAACCCTACAACATTAAAATAAATAATTACCCTATGAAGACGATTAGATCCCAACTTGGCTTTAAATTTAAAAAACCATAAATACACTCAACAAAGTACACTGTTAGTGAAAATCCCTTCTGACCCGTCAAACAGGGTGAAATTAACCCCTCAACATTAAAATAAATAATTACCCTATGAAGACGAATAAATCCCAACTTGGTTTTACATTTAATAAAATCTTAAATACACTCACCAAAGTACACTGTTAGCAAAAATCCCTTCCGACCCGTCAAACAGGGAGAAATTAACCCCTACAACATTAAAATAAATAATTACCCTATGAAGACGATTAGATCCCAACTTGGTTTTAAATTTAAAAAACCATAAATACACTCAACAAAGTACACTGTTAGTGAAAATCCCTTCTGACCCGTCAAACAGGGTGAAATTAATCCTTCAACATTAAAATAAATAATTACCCTATGAAGACGATTAGATCCCAACTTGGTTTTAAATTTAAAAAACCATAAATACACTCAACAAAGTACACTGTTAGTGAAAATCCCTTCTGACCCGTCAAACAGGGTGAAATTAATCCTTCAACATTAAAATAAATAATTACCCTATGAAGACGATTAGATCCCAACTTGGTTTTAAATTTAAAAAACCATAAATACACTCAACAAAGTACACTGTTAGTGAAAATCCCTTCTGACCCGTCAAACAGGGTGAAATTAATCCTTCAACATTAAAATAAATAATTACCCTATGAAGACGATTAAATCCCAACTTGGTTTTAAATTTAAAAAAAATCATAAATACACCCAACAAAGTACACTGTTAGCGAAAAATCCCTTCCGACCCGTCAAACAGGGTGAAATTAACCCCTCAACATTAAAATAAATAATTACCCTATGAAGACGAATAAATCCCAACTTGGTTTTACATTTAATAAAATCTTAAATACACTCACCAAAGTACACTGTTAGCAAAAATCCCTTCCGACCCGTCAAACAGGGAGAAATTAACCCTACAACATTAAAATAAATAATTACCCTATGAAGACGATTAGATCCCAACTTGGTTTTAAATTTAAAAAACCATAAATACACTCAACAAAGTACACTGTTAGTGAAAATCCCTTCTGACCCGTCAAACAGGGTGAAATTAATCCTTCAACATTAAAATAAATAATTACCCTATGAAGACGATTAGATCCCAACTTGGTTTTAAATTTAAAAAACCATAAATACACTCAACAAAGTACACTGTTAGTGAAAATCCCTTCTGACCCGTCAAACAGGGTGAAATTAATCCTTCAACATTAAAATAAATAATTACCCTATGAAGACGATTAAATCCCAACTTGGTTTTAAATTTAAAAAAATCATAAATACACCCAACAAAGTACACTGTTAGTGAAAATCCCTTCCGACCCGTCAAACAGGGTTAAATTAACCCTTCAACATTAAAATAAATAATTACCCTATGATGACGATTAGATCCCAACTTCGTTTTAAATTTAAAAAATCATAAATACACTTACCAAAGTACACTGTTAGCGAAAATCCCTTCCGACTCGTCAAACAGGGTGAAATTAACCCTTCAACATTAAAATAAATAATTACCCTATAAAGACGAATAAATCCCAACTTGGTTTTAAATTTAAAAAAATCTTAAATTCACTTACCAAAGTACACTGTTAGCGAAAATCCCTTCCGACCCGTCAAACAGGGTGAAATTAATCCTTCAACATTAAAATAAATAATTACCCTATGAAGACGATTAGATCCCAACTTGGTTTTAAATTTAAAAAACCATAAATACACTCAACAAAGTACACTGTTAGTGAAAATCCCTTCTGACCCGTCAAACAGGGTAAAATTAACCCTTCAACATTAAAATAAATAATTACCCTATGAAGACGATTAGATCCCAACTTCGTTTTAAATTTAAAAAATCATAAATACACTCACCAAAGTACACTGTTAGCGAAAATCCCTTCCGACCCGTCAAACAGGGTGAAATTAACCCTTCAACATTAAAATAAATAATTACCCTATGAAGACGAATAAATCCCAACTTGGTTTTAAATTTAATAAAATCTTAAATACACTCACCAAAGTACACTGTTGGCAAAAATCCCTTCCGACCCGTCGAGCAGGGTGAAATTAACCCTTATTTGACCGTGTACTTTAGTGAGTGTATTAATTATTTTTAAATTTAACCCTGTTTGACGGGTCGGAAGGGATTTTCACTAACAGTGTACTTTGTTGGGTGTATTTATGATTTTTTTAAATTTAAAACCAAGTTGGGATTTAATCGTCTTCATAGGGTAATTATTTATTTTAATGTTGAAGGATTAATTTCACCCTGTTTGACGGGTCAGAAGGGATTTTCACTAACAGTGTACTTTGTTGAGTGTATTTATGGTTTTTTAAATTTAAAACCAAGTTGGGATCTAATCGTTTTCATAGGGTATTTATTTATTTATTTTGAAGTTTAAGGGTTAATTTCACCCTGCTTAACGGGTCGGAAAGGATTTTCGCTAACATTGTACTTTGGTGAGTGTATTTATGATTGTTTAAATTTTAAACCAAGTTGGGATTTAATCGTCTTCATAAGGTAATTATTTATTTTAATATTGAAGGGTTAATTTCACCCTGTTTGACGGGTCGGAAGGGATTTTTGCTATTGGTGTACTTTGGAGGGTTAATTTTACCCTGCTTAACGGGTCGGAAAGGATTTTCGCTAACAGTGTACTTTGGTGAGTGTATTTATGATTTTTTAAATTTAAAACCAAGTTGGGATCTAATCGTCTTCATAGGGTATTTATTTATTTTGAAATTTAAGGGTTAACTTCACCCTGCTTGACGGATCGGAAGGGATTTTCGCTAACAGTGTACTTTGGTGAGTGTATTTATGATTTTTTAAATTTAAAACCAAGTTGGGATCTAATCGTCTTCATAGGGTAATTATTTATTTTGAAGTTTAAGGGTAAAATTAACCCTGTTAAATACACTCCACAGGATAATTATTTTATAAATTTTATGGGTTAATTTTACCCTGTTCTGTTCAATGGATCCGAAGAAATGTTTACCTATAGCGTATGTTAATGTATTTATTTTTTAAATGTAAAATTAAATTGCGATCTGATTTCCTTCGTCGGTTAAATACTTTTATCAATTTTAAGGGTTATTTTCAACCGTATATTAATTTTTTGTCAATATTAATGTGTAAAATACATATTAACAAGATTATTTAAATAGTTGTATGATGGACGCCACTTTTTTCCCGATCGGGTGTTGTCGGTTATTTTTACTGCTAAAAGTTACTGCTAACTTCACACCGGTTATTTAGAGGATAATTCTGAACGAGACTGAAAATAAATAACTTTATTGAGTAAAATTGTATTGATTTTTCTGCTCATCTTTACTCATTCAGACCTTTCAACCCTTAGTAATTTTTATAAATCTATTCAACCTAATACCTATAAGGGTAAAACCGTGGTTTAATAAGCTGTCAAATAGAAGACTAATCCAAACGATTAGCAGAATTAGAACTAATTAATCATGCTTTATACCCTCAATATATGAAGCGAATAGGTATATTAGATAATGATTTGTGTATTTGTGATGAGATTGCTAATTTACAACATATA